AATCCCGTTAGTCGCCTCTTTCGACGAGCTTTTTTTGAAGACCTATTATAACAGGGATCTTCACGGGTTATTTTTGGCTGGTAATATATGGAATAACCTCCCTGAAACTGATCATTTGTACCTCGTGAATGAAGACTCTTACGAACTGACATAGTCATAATGAAACTAATAAGCATTTACCAAAGATGTGTAGCTGTCCCATGGCAATATGTATTTCCCAACCAACAACTTCTTATTCTACCTCGAATCTAATAAAATGAAAAAAGGTTTTCGCCATTAATCGAACTTAACTCGACTATGATACTTAAACAGTGCATTTTTGTTTCAGATGAGAGGAATACATCAGGCCGTTGTGGAGATGGATTCCTGCAGCTTCCTGTCACACTTCTCCTCATGAACCTTTCATTCCATTTATTATGTAGATGAAATTGTGATGCATCAGAGATGGCCCCGTTGAGGTGACATTGACCATTAGTAAAATACGTGTGTCGTCTGTTTGATCTTTATGGTCGAACAATATTCGAACTGCATGTACATAACGGACTAGAATACGCCCCAGTCATTCCATGCTGTCAATACAACATCGTCCTTTGTTAGGGATTAGATTATGACATATAGCAGCAGTTCATATTGAGCTAGATATTATTGCACCCTACCGATAACTGTTTACGCCTCCTTTGCAATTAGTCAAACCAGAAGTAGACATTACACTTAATAATTTAAAAAATCTGATACAAACCAGTTAATCCTTCAGCAAGAATATGTCCAGTTATGCTCTAAACATAATTCTGACCACTCCATCTTCACAGATGCATCCAAGGATAGCGCCAAAGGTGCAAGCGCCACCATCATTGGTTCAAAAACTATTTCTTCAAGCTTACCAGATACGGCTACATACTTACTGCTGAAGCTGAGGCTATTCAAACAGCCATGACATATATTCAGAAACAAACTACAAACTACAAATTCTTTGTAATGCCTTCAGGCACTTAGGAATGTCAACTCGAATCATCCATTAAGATCACTTTTCACCCTGGATTCTCATCCTCTGTTATCTCGAAAGCTTGACCGCTATCGCTGCTGGGTGAATCTAATAATATTATCACTTTCAGCTATTGGGGCTGTTTTTTGTGTTTGATACTGACCACTGCTATTATATTATGATTATTGTACTTCCCGTCTGTGTACTGTCATTTTAATTAATGTGCAGTAATTTGTATTGATTTGTAAACCTTGAGAATTTTGTAATACATTTGTTGATTGCACACCATTTGTTGTTTATTTGTTGCTTTCACACTTAATTATTTTCCATACAGATTTTTGGGTTGATATATTGTATAAATTTGGGAATCAACACGTTACAAAGCATAGAGTTCATCTTCTGCATAGCTCACCTGTAGACTGTGTCCTGGTGTGATATAATGTGATAGAATCTGGACGTTTACGTAAATACATATGACATAGTACCAAAGGGTAGTGCAGTTCAACGCTGTTGTGTCGAAATTGAACCAACCCACGTAAATATTTCGCGATATTCAAAGCTTCGACAAAAACGAAAATTATGAATAAAGAATGAATACGCAGGGACCAAGTTTGTTTTTTCGACTGGGGGTCACACATGGTTGTTGGCCCATGAAAATGTGCAACAAGTCCTCCACTGTAAATCATTATATTCAAGTTTACCTTGGTAACTTACCAGACACAAGTGATGATGTTTATCACGCAGTCAAACTGTATCGTTATAGCAGTATAAGGGGGTAGTTGTGCTGAAATATTTGAAAGAAAAGGTGTGATAGAGGTGTGAATGTTGAGTTGATGGTGTTGATGTTGATGATCATAGGAAATATCTGCTCAAAGCAGGGTCCATTACATATGATTATATATGACTACTCTCATTTTTCACAGCACGTTCACATACAGTGTGTGTGTGTGTGCGTGCGTGCGTGCGTGCGTGCGTGCGTGTGTGTGTGTGTGTGTGTGTGTGTGTGTGTGTGTGTGTGTGTGTGTGTGTGCGCACATATGGGGATGTGCCTGTATGTGTGGGCATGTGTGTGCGTGTGTGCACACAGGGCCAAACACAACATACACACTACAACGAACATGACACACATGTACGCACCAAGCCATAAATGTGAGTGCATAAATCTTGAAGGCGACATTAAACCCAACTTTACCCCCGCCATTACCCACACACACACAGACACACACACACACACACACATCCCCCTCCCACGTATACATGACATTGTATACAGCTGCAGTTCTTCCAACAGTCTCGTAACTGAATATAATGGTTATTTCGGGACAATACACAACCAAATATTCCCAAGAAACTCTTGCGCAGCCTGTTTATCTGTGGTTCCCGATGACATCATTCAACAAGCTGCTATATTATATGATTACATGATCAGTTTTATCCAGAGAGAGTGCTGTGTCGTGCAGTCCCCTGGGCTTAAGTGGACACGTTTCTACGGGTTTCCCGTAATTTACTCCCGCTATGCCTGCATAACACGGTTGCGAAATCATGCCTCTACTGTTTCAAGCTTTGGGGTCGTGTTCCACAATATGACGGTATCGCCCCGAAGCTATGTTTCATATAAGAATTAACATGGATAGACGTCTTTTTCATTAACACAAACTACAGCAAGCAAACTGGATGTTGTTTGTGTGCATATTCTTGATATGATACTGGCACCCTCCAAAGACTAATTGGGGGCACGGGTGGCCCAGTCGCCGCGATTCGCTGTGCAGAGTTGTGTCCATTGGGCACGGCAGAATCCTGTGATTGTAGGTTTGAATCCCGGTTCGTCCCGATTATGTTTCTAGGTATGTCAGCACCATACCCGTGCTCATGAGTTTTGTCAAAGTGGTAAACATCTAAGAACTGCATCACCTCGGCTTTCCTCCCACATTAAGCTGACACATCGTAATAAAACTGGATTACTGTTAAAAGCATCGTTAAACCTAAATAACTTACTCCTCCGTCTGCAGACTGTCATTCATGTTTGACAACTCACACTTTATTAAACAGCCGAACTTTTTGTGTGACCAATATTGTTTTGATGGTATTCTTGGTGGAAAAATACACCATAAAGCTCCTCGCTCATAATTACATGACCGAGAAACAATATTTTGTAATAATGTCCCTTTTAAACACGGTGAGAGAATGATGAATTTATTTCGTAAAGGGGTCCCAGGCCCATCATATAAGGTACATTGGTTTAAACAGTTCAACTGTACAGGGGGCGGTGGGGTAGCCTTGTGGTTAAAGCATTGGCTTGTCTCGCCAAAGACCGGCCGGGTTCGATTCCCTACGTGGGTACAATGTGTGAAGCCCATTTTCCGGGGTCCTCCACCGTGATATTGCTTAAATATTGCTAAAAGCAGCATATAACAATACTCACTCACTCACTCACCGGTACAGAGCGCTGACTATTACATCAGCGAACAGATTCACAAAGCGCCCGTAAGCCACAGACGTTGGTGATTCTAGTGGTCAACATGCATCGGAGTCATGCAAAGGATGCACAAAAAGGTTACTAAGGTCGATCATAACTTACGATACGTGTTATACACTCTGGTAACAATGAGTCTCACATTGTTACAATGGGAAAGTACTACAAAACTTGCACATCCTTAAACACGGTAGTCTGTAAACAATCACAGATGTGTCTTGTCCAGGCAAACCAGAGACCAACTTTAGGACCTACTCTACCAAATCCAAACGCGGACATTTTAAAGTTATTTTGAACATATTTTAATTGATTTGGTTAAGTGTGTTGTTTAACGCCACACTCAGCAATATTCCAGCTATATGACGGCGGTCCGTAAATAATCGAGTCTGGACCAGACAATCCAGTGATTAGCATTATGAGCATCGATCCCGTTAGTCGCCCTTTACGTCAAGCATGGGTTTCTGAAGACCTATTCTAACCCGGATCATTACGGGTCTTTGATGTACTGAATTTGACTAAATCGGGTATATGATCAACACTTCCATATATGAAAAAGTGGCTCATTTGGAACGTTTTCATACGCTTATATTAAATAGAACTGAAAGTATTATTTACTGGAAAAGAAAACAGCAGAATGCGCGTCTATATGTTTATGGAGCACCATGTCAAACATGTTTGTTTACATGCGTGAATGAGAGAGTACACGATGTCATATGTCACAGTTTTCTGTAAGGAAAATCGAATATGAACAATCCAGAGCAGTGGCTGATGGCACGGGTATTTGTTACGCCGGGATACGATGACACACTTTCAACCACGCCACATAATAAATGTAACAAACGCACCCTCATTCGCTTGACAAACAAGCGTAGGAACATAAAGAAAACGTACCTGAAAAAAATGCCAAAAAATGATTATAACCAGAAAGTTTGTTGTACGCCACTCCGGTCTAACACATTTGTATTGCAGGTACATCTAGGCCAGCTGTGCTCCTGCAGTTACACCTGGTTCAGCAGGGACAGATATTGAAGACTCACTCACTCACTCACTCACTCACTCAAACCACACATCCGCCCGCCCGACCAAACACACACACCAACACACTCATTCACCCACTCAGTGTGAAGTGAAGGGGTAATCCCCCTATATCCCAGGCTAGAGTGCTACGATAGACGTAGAGAACATTATCTCCTACTCAAAAGGACATGCGTCAGCTCTACACTTGACTATACAATTTCTCGGAAAGCAATGGTTGTTATTGGGAATCCGTGACACATAATATACAATATGACGTCTGAACTCACCTCAGATCTAACTCTACAGCCTCACTAAGAAGTGTGTCAGCATTTCCCGGGGATGTATCGTGTTACTGAACAAAAACAACAATTGTGTGCGTGTCACCTGTCAATCTTGTCAGCAAATCAGGCCAGCAAGCTATTTATCACACGTGTGTGATTCCCCGAAGATTCTACTTTGGTTTAGGCATGTCATTATTAAAATTAAACATTTGTCAATATATAAAAAATACACTGTATATATGTTGCAGGTTTTCAGGTATAACGTTCCGTGTATGAACAGGTGGGATTCAGGATTGCCCGGATCTTTGGACGGTCTAATCCTTCTTTGATGAGCGAATGAAGAAACAAAACTAACCAGCAGCTGGTTTGTTATTCAGATAATGTTCCACAATTCTAACAAAACTATAAGACTATCTAACAACAACAATCTCGGCTATCTTTATATTAATGAGTTAGAGTGTATTTGGCCACATTATTGTAATAATCTATACAGTTTTTGGTGCAGGGTTTAAGGTATAAGGTTCCAGGTGCGGACAAGTCACATAGAGGAAGACACGTTTGATGCAGGTAAGTTCTAATTTGTAAAGTTCCCTTGTGAGTTGATATGAAAAGGGGTTTAAAAATCATTGCACTTCTTTTAAGACGTGCATTGACGTGTGTGTGTCTTCTAATATCAGTTTGGACTAATGTTATAGTGCTAGCTCATTAAGATACAATGTCACAGTTTACCATGGATACCAACTCAGACAAAACCGACTGGACCTTGTTTTATTCCCTTAATGCCGAGTGCCAAGCAGAGTAACTAGTACCATCTTCCCACCTCAGCGGAAGTGTATGCAACCATAGACCTTCCTTTTGCCCTGTAGATTCTCTATCCACTAGACCGGGAAGTAAGGGGTTATTTGACTGCATCTGAATTTTGAGCTTTACCCTCTCAAACCCAATTTAGTTGGATCAGCCTAAATGACACCATTCTGACCCAGCCTATAATGCTAAATGATTATTAAGATAGGTAAAAACGTATTTTCCTATTTTTAAAAATTCATCATAACAAACGTGGGTCATACATTATGTATATCGATGATTTGGTCTCTTTCAAATATGGGCAGTTCGCTTCATGCTTTCCACTGATTTACACACCAGAAATAGATATAAACGAGACCAGTGAATCCGCCTCATATTTTTCATATTTAGATCTATACATCAAGATAACGACAGATAATAATACGTGAACAAAGCTGTATGAAAAAAGGGGTGTTTCACATTTCCAGCAGTAACAACACACTGTCCCTTCATGTCGATGAGGGTCGGTCGGCTAGCCTAGTGGTTAAAGCGTTCGCTCGTCATGCTGAAGACCCGGGTTCGATTCCCGACATGGGTGCAATGTGTGAAGCCCATTTCTGCTGTCCCCTGCCATGATATTGCTGGAATATTGCTAAAAGCGTCGTAAAACCATACTCACTCACTCACTCACTCATGTAAATTTATAATCCAGAAGGTCCAGGCTTTGGTATCCATTTTTCACAAGTTTTGAGAAAGAAGTTTTTTCTTCAAATGTGTTAAAGACTGGGACTGACAAAAGTGATTCCACAAGACTGTATGACAAGAGGGATGAGTACTAGTTAACTTACCAAGTCAACTTTCCTGCAGCATGCTCTGTCCCACGAAGATTTCAAACATCGTGAGATGACTCCTACTCAGAAATTGATTGATCCAGGTTTCAGCTTTCACGGCCACAGTAAATCTTCAAATTGCTGTATAAGGGAAATGTAGAGGACAGTTCCAAATTTGTCACATCACTGACACATGTTTGATCCTTAGTTTGATTTGTACAATATGAATGTATGTTCCCATGTTTGTTCATGTGCACACTTGACTTGCCCTTTTCGCGAACGACCGCCTCCGTAGTCTGGTGACAGAGCGTCTGCCCGAGGACAGAATGTCCGGGATTCGATCCCCGGCATGGTCTTTTGTCACACCAAAAGACGTTAAAAGATGTTACTTGGGAATTGTTATTCTGTCTGGCCCTCGGCATTAAGGGGGCCTTAAGTGGAGAACAAGGACTGGTCGGCTCGGACATAGTATACTGTGTCTGAGTGGGGTATTCCTTTTAAACTGCAGCATGGTATCTCCGTTGGCCAGCACTTCAGCATCCGTCCGGACTAGTACAAGCAGCTACATACACACACATGCATGTACGTCGTTTTATAAGTGCATTAATTTTGGACGCAACGTTAAACGCCATTTCACCTTACCTTTCTGCTAACACCAGGTATCATCACTGAACTGTTAGTTTCTAATGTTTATCAACACATTTGTTTTGAGTAGGATCTCCCAAAAGTGGGTGAGTTAAAATTTAAATGTAATATCGCATTGGCATTATTTCAGTGACATAGCTACTCTCCCAAAAGGGAAAGTAAAGATCCAAATAATGAAATCTGTAACACCTTACTCCTTGTATGCACCCCAGGCACCTTCAGAAGTGAACGATGAAAACGATGAAAACGAATCTGTTCCTATTGTGTGAGTGTAGCTTCATTCCTTGCATCAATATATTCCAGATGATGTCCCATGTAGCCAGCTGTCAGATAAGTTACACATCTGGAACTTCTAACAATTGCGAATAAATTGATATGTTTGTGTCATATCGACACGGAACATCAATCAAGCAGCTAATAGTACCGAGCATATCCGATATGACTGCAAGGACTACAGCTCTAGATGTCCGTGAAACAGTTCATAAGTCACACTTCCGACCATACGGGCCAAAATTATGTCGATAATACCGGTTCAACAACTTGAGAATATTGTTAAATATTTAAGTGCGTCTTTCAATGTTTTGTTCTTAGATAAATCCTGATGGAAGTGGTAAAAACCTAAACTGAATAATAAGTAATAAACTTAAAAATAAAATATAAACTCATTTTGTTCGAAAGGTAACGATTGCATGATTTTATGTTCCAGTAGTTTTCATATGCCCTTCGTCTGCTGATTCCAACTGTCTGTGGGCCACGGAAGAAACACCGTGCCCTGAATGTGTGCTGGGATGGTATGAAAGCAGCTGTGACAAGAGGTGTATTGGTTTCTGTGACAACGGTGGCTGTCACAGAGATTCAGGACAATGTCTGCAGTGCCAGGGTGGCTACTTTACCTCCACCTGTACAACAAAGTGTCCCTTACAATGCAGGGAGAACGATGACGGGCATGCATACTGTAACCGAACGACGGGACATTGTTTACAAAATTGTAAAGATGGTTGGTGGGGAGACAGGTGTGAGCGAGCCTGCAGTGAAGGGTGTGTCGGCAACTCCTGCTTCTCCTGGGATGGGTATTGTAACAATGGCTGCCTCCAGGGTTGGACTGGTGACGATTGTGGCACAAGGTGTCCAAGCGGCTGCCATCAAAACGCTTGCGAGCGAGCTAAAAGAGGTAGATGTACCCAAGGATGTCGCTTTGGCTTCCATGGCCATCACTGTGATCAACCCTGTGATAGTCGCTGCAGGGAGCAGGACTGTGTTTACGATCACCAAATAAGGTCTGCAATCTGTAGACAAGGCTGTGTGGACAGATGGATGTCTCCTGACTGTCAAAGGAAGTGTTCTCGCAACTGTAAAGCATGTCTGCAAGAGTCTCGAAATTGTTCTCGATGTTCGCAAGGCTATTGGGGAGTTGCCTGCGCCAGAGTCTGTAGTTCCACGTGTTCTAACCGGACATGTGATATGGATGGAAAGTGCTTTGCATGTGAACCTGGTTACTTTGGCAACACTTGTGAACGCCATTGTGGGACTGATTGTGGCAGGTGCGACATGACGAATAAAGACGGGCGATGTGATGACGTTTGTGTCACACTTTGTTCAAACAATACAAATGGACTTCCCAGCCATGGTTATGCTGTACATACAGGTGAGTTTCTATGTCATTGAGAAATTGTAGCCATCAAAGTCAACGTTATCATTTAAACTCAAATGCTGTTGAATGTACAGCTACATGCATGTAGTACATATCACGTGACCATAAACTTCAATAAAATGAACACATCTCCAGTCTATTAATTATTGTTAGTCTATTGAAGCTAGTCACAACCCAGACCACAGTCAGTTATACTTCGATGTGATTTATGATTATGTTATTTGTTTCTTTTCTCAAGTAAGTGTTTACTAGTTGCACACCTCGCATGTTTAAGACAAAAACAAACCTCCTTGTCTAAGGTGTGCTAGACTACTCTGGCAAAGGGTTTAAATCCTGATTCTCCCTTATTCTATATCCAGATGTGGCTAGGCTTACTTAGTTTAATAATTAAAGGGGCAATCACATGTCGAATAAGAAAGATGCTTCGATAGTTAGAACAGTGAAATTACTATTTTCATAGAGTTTCTGAAAAATGATGTAAAGTAGCCATGCTTCAGTAACTTTCAGACATTTGAGTCCATGTCGACAGAAAAGGTAATATTATACTGACGAATTTTATGAGAGTTTCACAAAAACATGGTTACTTATTTGATAGATTACTCATAAGGGTAGACTGATCGTCTGTAACAAATTTCCGATACTTGCTCATTGATTTGATTTGTCAGATGAAGCATAATGATTAATTGCTGAGAAAATACATGATGTCATCGATTGTGCATGACGTCACAAATTGATTACCTGACGTCATCTTTAGAATAAGTTTCCTTCATTGAAAGAGTGAGTGAGTTTGGTTTACACGCTGCTTTTAGCAATATTCAAGCAATATCTCGGCAGGGCACACACGAAATGGGCTTCACACATTGTGCCCATGTTGGGCATCGAACCCGGGTCTTCAGCGTGACGTTTTAACCACTAGGCTACCCCACCGCCCCTGCCTCTATTGAAGTTTATCACTAGGATTCACACTTCATAAGGTTTTCTCACTTAACTTTCTGTGTTGTATCTGTTTGTTTGTTGTTGAACGCCGCACACAGCAATATTCCAGATACATGACGCCGATCGGAAAATAATCGAGCCCGGACCTGAAAATCTAGTGATTGATACCATGAGCATCGATCCACGCATCTGAGAAACTAAGTCAGCGAACCCGACCACCCGATCTCGTTAGTCGCCTCTTGGTTGTTGAAGACCTATTCTAACACGGATCTTCACGGGTTATTATTGGCTAGGAATATATGGAATAACCTCCCTGAAACTGATCATTTGTACCACGTGAATGGATATTGTTACGAACTGTTAGAGTCGTAATGAAACAATAAGTATTTGCCAAAGATTTGAAGATGTTCCATGAAAATATGTATTTCAAGGACTTCTTTTTCTACCTTGAATCAAATAACATGAAAAAGGTTTTCACCATTTATCAAACTGAATTCCAACTCGACTATGAAACTTAAACAGTGCATGTTTTGTTTCAGATGAGAGGAATACATCAGACCGTTGTGGAGATGGATTCCTGCAGCTTCCTGTCACACTTCTCCTCATGAACCTGTCATTCCATTTATTATGTAGATGAAATAGTACCACACCATCCTTTGTTTGGGATCAGATTACGACATATAACAGCAGCTCATATTGAACTAGATATTATTGCACCCCACCAATAACTGTTTACGCCTCCTTTGCAATTAGTCAAACTACAAGTAGATATTACACTTACTAACTTTAAAGAATCTGATCCAAACCAATTAATCAGCAGGAATATGTCCTGTTATGCTCTAAACATAATTCGCACCATCCATCTTCACAGATGGATCCAAGGATGGCGCCAAAGTTGCAAGCGCCACCATAATTGGTTCAAAAAATATTTCTTCACGATTATCAGATACGGCTACATATTTACTGCTGACGCTGAGGCTATTCAAACAACCTTGACATATATTCAGAAACAAACTGCATGTTAACTCTTCATCATTTTCTCTGATTCTTTATAATGCCTTCAGGCACTTAGGAATGTCAACCCGAATCGTCCGTTAAGATCACTTTTCACCCTGGATTCTCATCCTCTGTTATCTCGAAAGCTTGACCGCTATCGCTGCTGGGTGAATCTGATATAATATTATCACTTTTAGCTATTGGGATTGTTTTTGTGTTTCATACTGCCCACTTATATTATATTATGATTATTGTACTTCCCGTATGTTGTGTAATGCCATTGTAATTAATGTGCAGTAATTTGTATTGATTTGTAAACCTTGAGAATTTTGTAATACATTTGTTGATTATACACCATTTGTTGTTTCTTTCTTGCTTTCACACTTAATTCTTTTCCATACAGATTATTGGTTGATATATTGTTTAAATTTGGGAATCCACACATAACAAAGCATAGAGTTCATCTTCTGCATAGCTCACCTATTGACTGTATACCTGGTGTGATATAATGTGATAGGACGTTCAGGTAGATACATATGACATATAACCAAAAGGTAGTGCAGTTCAACACTGTTGTGTCGAAATTGAACCAACCCACGTAAATATTTTGCGAAGCTTTGACACAACGAAAATTATGATTAAACAATGAATACGCAGGGACCAAGTATCTTTTTCTACGAGACAACCACATGTTCGACACAACAAACGACGTTTGACTGTATATGAATAGACTGGGAGTCAAGATTAGCTGATCTGTTTGCCGCCGATGTCTGGCTCGCCCCCTTTACACGTGGTTGTTGGCCCGTGAACATTTGCAACAAGTCCTACACTGTGAATCATTCCATTCAAGTTTACCTGGGTAACTTACCAGACACAAGTGATGACAGAATTAGGGGATGTTTATTCTGAAATATTTGAAATAAAAGGTGTGACAGAGGCAATGGTATCATCCAGCTTGAATCGGGCACGGGTGGCACTGTCGTCTAAGGAGCCGCGATTCGCTATGCAGAGTTGCGTCCCTTGGGCACGCCAGAAACCTATGATTGTGGGTTAGAAATTATGTTTCTAGGTTTGTCAGCACCATACCCGTGCTCACTGGTTTCACCGAAGTAGTTAACGTCTTAGAGCTGCATCAGTTCGGGCTTTCCTCCCACATTAAGCTGACACACCGTGATATAACTGGAATAATGTGAAAAGCGGTGTTAAACCCAACTCACTCACTAACTCACTCCACCTTGAATCATCTCCCTCACGGTCTTCATGCGTTGTAACACACGTACATTCATATGAAATAGTATCTTGTGGATTAAATCTTTTTTTCAGGTTTAGATTTCATGATATAGGTCAAATAACAAATTACTTTATGCAGGACCAAAGGAACGCATCAACGTCAAATATTCTTCCACCTAAAAAGTATTCAGAGTATTTAGTGTGCTCCGATCTCTATGTGACTGGGATATTGCAACTTACTTAAACAGTCTCTTCTCACTGAAAGGTAAAATGAATGACCCGCACTACAGGTGTGAATGTTGAGTTGATGGTGTTGATGTTGATGATCATAGGAAATATCTGCTACACGCAGGGACCATTATATATGATTAATTGTGACTACTCCCAGTTTTTGCAGCACGTTCCTGCTCCCAGGACATTCTAGATTGACGGTATATGTGAATGTGTTTCATCAGCTGAAAAAACACACTGACATATGATGGTACTAGTCAAAATAAGTAGCTGCACTGGATATCATTTTTGACACTGTACTGGTTCGTCAAATTTGGAAATATCCTCAACACGCTTTGACACTGAGACCTTAAATGCTACTTAAGGGAAATTGACATTAGGAAAGTTGGACGTCATCCTCCCTCTTGTCATACAGTCATGAGGAGAGACTTTGTCGCTCGGAATATTTATGCATAGGTCTAAAAACTAAACCGTGGAGGCGATACACGACACAAGACGTTTTATTTGACGTCGGTTATTACAGGTAATGGTATGACACTGGCTCTTTAAAGCTATTAATGTCATATAACAATGGACAGAAAATGCATAATATACGGAAATATTAACATCTGTATTGGAAGTTAAATCATGTTTATAGTAAACTATTTAAAGAAAATACATGGATATCACAAGGATATTCACAAAATATTTACAAGTAGAACGATTGCACATTCAGAAGAAGCCTGCGAGATCTCAGATTTTCGAAAATTGTTTAGCAGATGGAGATCCTGATGGCCTCAAAAGCAGAATGTTGGGGAGTCTCCACCATTAGATGGAATAGGTCGGCCTCTTTTGGGTTATCAAATGTTTGTCACTGGTCTCTTTAAGCTGCTCCAAATAGGTAAATCTTCAGGAGGGAACTGGCTTTATCATCATACCATGATTCGATATATATTTTACGAATAACAAGGAAACAGAACAACTACTACATGCAAACAAAGATTTAAAGTTACACGTCAAGAAAAAATCAAGGACGATTATTATTTTATTTATGTATGTGTTGTTATTGTCTGTACGCTGTTTATGCTGTTTGTTAGTTCAATGTTTAATGCAGCAGGCATAAAATTCCAATTCCAAACATCAGTTTGACAATTGATCCATACATATTCACAATGACCTTCAATGGTGTATGAGGCATATGTTGATACTATTTAGTCATCATTTACATGCGTCTGTAGAGGCACACATAAGCTTTCATTCACTGCTACCATGCATACTGTGGAGCTGTGTTATATTTGTGGGTCTGTTACAAATTCACATTTTTCTTTTACAATCTTTGTAGCCTCTTGATGTGGACCATAAAGATGCCAGCATTAAGCTGGCCATTTGACACACGATCCTTGTTTAAAAGCAACAGTTGCCAACATTGCAGCGATATCAAATAGTGTTAGCAACATCATATGAAGTAAAATATCATTTGTATCCACAAATATTCATTTCACATTTTCTTATTTGTCATCCAACATTGTAATTCATCTTGAGATAGCGGACATACGTTTGAACTCACGTAAATATTCTGTGTTACATTTCCCTGTACATGACGTATTTAGCAATGCTTTGTTCTGTTGTACATCTGACTGGGTCTTGCAATTCGCAAAGCCCTTTTGTGTGTACGCAACAACGCTCTGTTGTTCGTTTGAATGACGACATTAAAAATGATTATTTGCCTATTCATAAATCCCCATCAACCCGCCTTTTTCAGAAACCTTTGTTAAGCTCTGAAACCAGTGAAATGTGCGTGGACAATGAAGTTGGCTTTGGATATGTTGGCACCACTCGTTTGTCAAAAGATCTAGTGAGCGACAATGGGTTCTGTGTCACATGTAAATCTTTTCAGTCCAAATAAAAGTGACAATTGTGGAGACTTTGAGCCACTCATCTTAGGCCGTGAACCATGCAATCAACATGTTATTATCTATCCGTTGGTAGGATAATTAAATCAGTGCCACCTGGTGAACCAACTATATATGCATCGAAGGTAAATAAATGATTATCGAGCCAGTTTGATTTTGTGGCTATATGAGGTGAGGTGAAATGGAGTTCGAGATTATTCCACTAACATAGCGACGTACATGCATGTGCGTGTGGCTGTTTGTTGAGTTAAAGTTCACTACTGGTACCGTCCACTGTACAGCTGTAACAATTATTTCACAAAAAGAAGTCATGAATCTGGTTTGCCATCACTATACACTTTTAGTTGAGGGTTATTTACATCTAGCTACTATTTCTTAGATGATAGTCTCGGATGTGGAGGTGTAACGTCAAGTACAACCATCCAGCGCTAATACATTGTGCATTTGTATTCAAAGATATTTTCAGTACATCAATAGTGTGCATATTTGTAACTTGAAATAATGACAAATGCATGAGCCTCGCTGTGACGTGCTACCCATACAGCTCCGGACTGTCTCGGACCCACCGGTATCCACATGTCCGTCTTTGACTGGAGACATTTGAAAGAATCTCAACACAAATAATTTCAAAGGCTTGACCAAATACCTAATTTGGGGTATAGTGTGCACATAAAAATACCGAGTGTCGTAAAGACACATTTAGGTAATACCATACTGGCTATGATGAAATTTACATGACTCAGTTACATATATAAACACACATGATATATACTGGACGGAGCCCATTAAAGTACCCACCATATACTAAGTCCCGAGTGTCGATTTTGTTGGTGCCCGTACGGTGGTTCTTATATAAGTGCAGGGCCAGCAGCATGGTGGCTATGGTGGGATCTCTATGTGATAGACGAGTGCACTGCTTGGCCCTGTGATTTGGTTTTAAAGTGAGTGAGTGAGTGAGTTGGGGAGGTTTAACGCCCCTTTAACAGTATTCCAGTTATATCACGGCGTGTCAGCTTAATGTGGGAGGAAAGGCTGAAGTGATGCAGATCTCAGACATTTACCACTTCGGTGAAACCCACGAACTCGGATATGGTGTTGAGTAACCTAAAATCATAATCAGGGCGAACCGGGATTTGAACCACAATCAGGAGGGACGCAAATCTGATCAGTGAATCGCGGCGTCTTAGCCGACAGGGCCCCCTGTGCCCCCCTTGGCTTTAAAGGGCACAATGCAATGGTGATGATCATTAATACTGAGATCAGCTTTTTTATCAAATGGCAATTGAGTGATGTACAGTCATATACATGGCTACATGGTAATTACCCTATGGATGAAAGGTTGTCCTGAATCGGTCGCTGTTATCGCATTTCGTGACGCTGTCTTCGAATCTTATTAGAAGGACGTTGTCCAATGTACCTTCCAATTTTTTTAAGCCTTTCCCGGTAGAAACGCAATGCAATACCAAGTGCAATTACACAACAGAGCAGCGGTAGTCCAATAGCAAAACCTAAGGTGAGGTCGGATGGTGATGACTCTGTCGTAGTTGGACTTGTGGGTGTTGACGATCTCTCAGATACTGTTGGTGAGCTTGGTGACGTGTAGCTGGTTCCTTAAATAGAAAAAAAGGCTAAATTAAATTGGGAGAAAACATTCGCAGATATTTCGTTCTCGTCCTACACTCTTGTGAAGCACTCAAATGACACAACTAAAATTTGTCAATGTCAAGTGTTGGATTACCCTTAATAAATGTTAACAAAAAAACCACTTCAACCATAACAGTATGTGTTTGTACTGAAGGAATGGAATGAAGATAGTTTTGTTTGTTTGTGGAGCTACATGCTGGTGTATAAATGATCCAATCAGGGCCAGAAAGTCCAGTGATTAACATTATGACCATCGATGTACGCAAATGAAAACAATAACATGAAATCCACCAAATCACCGACTCGTGGGTTGTTGAGGACCTATTCTAGCCTGGAATCGACACGGGAACGGTTGAGGATGGTAGTTACGTACCTGTCGACGTAGGGGATGTTGTCGGTGAAGGAGCAGCTGGAAGAGAAGAACAGACACGTTATATTTGTACAAGATGTCATATGATTTTATGGATACAATTTTGTTCCAAAAGGAATTCGCTCTTTCTAATAGGTCGTTTAAAAAGTGGTTATTGCTGTTAAGTCACCTACTACAACATGACATTTTTCGGTTTCCCTTGACATATATTGTTGTTTAGTTATCAGCCAACGGAAAACAAATGCTAGATGTCCATCGTCAACCTTAACAGTATATATTTGAACTGGAGGAATACTGTGAGGATATCAGTATTAAGATAAATACCTACCGCTCAACTTGGAAACTCCGTCGCACGTAAGTGATCTATTGCTGTTGTCACATCTAAACATAACACTGACATTTCCAAAACGATCAGATGAGACGTTGAAGAAGTGGTGCTGGACAGTGTCGGTAATGTTGTGCGCGGTCTGGTTCTGCAACAAGACGTCTGTGACGCTGCCTGTAGTTAGGTCAAATCCAGCTTGTTGAGAACAGTAGTAGCCTCTGATGTCTACTGTCAGAGTGAGATTTTTACCTGGCTCCAGTACATCAGTGTCTGTATCACTACTATATTGCACTGTGGTGGACCTGGTCGGTAAATCATGTACATGTCAATGTCACTCTAATTTCTGGTGTTAAAAAGAGAAAAGTTTCATCCAGCAAAAAGCATTCATGCATTTACAAGCAAAATTGAAAATGTCTAATGTAATATATTTTTTTCTCAATTTTCTCAGTGAATAGATAACAACTATTAACAACTCTAACATTTAGACTCACTTTTTAACAACCTCTTAACTCCACTACAGCTGAGATCACTGCTCATGACGTCACATGCAAACGACACCGTGACGTCACCAAAACGTGAAAGGTCAATATTGATAGTTTTGGTAATTGCGTCATTCGTGACATCACTGACGTTGTGTTTCATCGACAACGTCTCCATGACAGCACCAGTGGTAAGGTTAAAGCCAGTGTCCAGGGAACAGTAGTAGCCGTTGATGTACACTGTGACTGTCAGGTTTGTGCTGAGCTCAAGGGCGTCTGTGTCCACATCACTACTGATGTTACATTCCGGAGTTTCTGTTGACAGAAAATACACAAAGTGTTGATGATTCCAAAAATGACATTATCAAATTGGCTCCACTAAATTGACGATGGAAACATAACCAGGTGTTGACTGGTTGGTTGGTTAGTTGGTTTGTTGTTTAACCCGCACTCTGCAGTATTGAAGCTATATTACAGCGGTCTGTAAATATTCGAGTCTGGACCAGACAATCCAGTGTTTGAAATCATGAGCATCGATCCACGCAAATGGTTGTTGGTAGACAGTAACATGTTTAGATATATTTAGTTAAAATTTATATATTTGTCCGGCTTATAACATATTGGCTGATCAGTTTTACATATAAAAGCAATATTCATTCATACATCTCGTCTAATTTCCGAATGCCGGTGCTAAGTATTTGTTTTCGCCTGTCCCCGCAGCGATCGCATGCACAACAAACGAAAGTAGCAGTAGCAGAACAATTTGGATTTGATGATGAGCCGTAACAATACATACTCAATGTGTGATTGCATAATATTATGTTTTACCCTGAGCCGTCGCTATATATAACATGCATAACAAAACGAAAATAGCAGTAGCAGAACAATTTGGAATTGATGACGAAAAGTGGTAACTCGTAAATTAATAATGAACGAGAGAGAGGTCAAAAGTTTACTTGAAAAGTAATTGTTGGTTAACCCTTTAAATCCGCATTTGTTGACTTATCAATATGATCACCAAGGAACCGTTGATTATTGAATTTAACCATTCAATTTTGACAATGTGGCGCGGAAATAATATAGGTCCCCAGCAACCTATGCTTGTCGTAATAGGTGACTAAATGAAGCCTGGTCTCCCGATCCATTCAGTCGCCCCTTATGACCAGCAAATACATGTTGCTGGGGAACTGTATTTTTATCAGGAATCCACACCGGTTAATGGCTAGATCCGATGATCTATAATCTGTCGAAACGTGTTGTGTAAATACTTACTAGCTGCGGCGAGATGACACACGTCTACAGGGATGGCACCAACTACAGTCGCATCCACGATCGTCCATGTTCCAGCATCATTCACTCCGACACTGTCTATAGTGAGTGTAGAGTGTGTACCATTAAGTGTGGCCCTGTATCCAGGCACAGGGCTGCAGCTGGGGTTGCAGTTGACGACATACCGACCGTCAGTTGGTCGTACCCATATAAAGCCTGTATAGTTGCTTCTGTCACCAGTTATAGTATATTCTGTATTCAGTGTTGCCACTCCACCTGGACACGGGGCTTGTGTAGGGGATACACCTACAGTAGCAATGAAACACCAACCACTACAAGGCTGATCTACTTCAGAAATTACCACAGTAACTGTTTATGGAGGTATTTAAGTAAACACCCGTGCTTATATAGTGTAATCACCTCCTTAAATGCACAATATATTTTAATAAATTGTTATAAATAAATAATCAACAATAATAAGTTCACATCAACTGTAGACACCTCTACGTAATCAGTGACAGAGTTCATTTTATTTTTAGCCAAACAGGAAACAGCATCTGCTAGTGGGCTTCTCTTACGTTCTGAAGATTTATAGAAACAAGAAAGCAAGCACATTTGCTTGGTTAAAAAAAATCATATATAAATGTAGAGTAAAAAAAAATCTAAATCATATGATTATGAAGGTTGATGAAACATACTTAATCGTTACGTTAAGTGTAAAAAAATTAAATGATATATATTTAACCTGGCTACTTTTTCAGAAAATAACATGGACATTTAAACTTACTTACCATGGATGAAGGTTGCATTCAGAACCACTAATACATGTACTTGGTTTTGTTTAACCATCATTTTCAAGAAACTGGAAAGAGAAATAGAGAGCGAGATTGCTACATGTTTCCCCACTCAGTCAAGATAAGGACATTATTTGTCATATTTAACCTCTGGACATCTACCAACTATCATCATATCACTTTTTAAAAGTGTGTACTTTTATGGGAAGGGACGGTGGCACAGTGGGTAATGCGTTCGATCGTCACACCGAAGGAGCGGGTTCAATTCCCTCATGTTAAAATGGGGGGCACGGGTGGCCCAGTCGTCTAAGGCGCTGCGATTCGCTGGTCAGAGTTGCGTCCCTTGGGCACGCCAGACACCTATGATTGTGGGTTCGAATCCCGGTTCGCCCCGATTATGTTTCTAGGTTTGTCAGCACCATACCCGTGCTCGTGGGTTTCATCGAAGTGGTTAACGTCTGAAACCTGCATCACTTCCGGCTTTCCTCCCACATTAAGCTGACACCCCGCGATATAACTGGAATACTGTTAAAAGCAGCGTTAAACCCAACTCACTCACTCACTCATGTTAAAATGTGTGAAGCCCATTTCTCGTGTCACCCGCAGTGGTTTTCGAATGTCATTGCCAACAGCAGCGTAAAATAATCATCATTCATTTCATTATGCAAATAGGTTACGAACCAAAAATATCTTTGTTTGACAGAAAATATAAATATGCACTTACAGTATATATATTTGGTAAAATGTATGAAACAATTGATAACGTACCGATTGTACCACCTGCTGTCATAGAAATATCTGAAAAACATGACAAGCAAATCATTCAAGAAATATGTACATTGACTTGTAAAATATTCCCAAAATATTTCCATGCAGCAATAATTGTATTCAAAAAGAAACTACCTTTATAATGAACATGCTTACAACGAACTGATGGATATAACGACATTGTTTTGGTCCTGTACATTTGCTATATACGTGCTTAAAATATGTTTGTAACGAACTACGGTTATAACGAACTGTAATTAGTGGTCGCTTTGAATTCGTTTTAACCGTAGTTTAATGTACATGAGCAATCATGACGAACCAGTATCGGTAAGGTTATATAGTACAAGAAGGGACATTTAACATTTGCCAGCCAGATCCTTGAGTTATAATGTCCATTATCGTAAAACCTTGTGCACAGAACAAGTATTAAATAATCTTTTCGTTCTTGGTGAGATCCATGTTGAGTTAATTTTAGCATTGCGTCAGCTTTGGAAGTCATAAATATATTGTACACATTTCTGGTGTTTAATCCAAGTTTATTGGGTCAGCCGGCATGTGGATACGTGACTCCACTGAACTTTTCCCTAAGAATCCGTCTGAGTGAACACACCTGTTTCACTCGCCTGGTCATTGATATAAATGGCAGATTAATGTAATCGATCAAATATCGGACCCTTGCCAGGGACATTCGGATGTCTTTGGAGTCATGTTATAACATACAACACAGAGTCATGTTGTTGCCACTTCATTATTCAACTCTAGAGTTCGGAAAAAACGGATTACAGGTTTATGTATATACAGGGTCACAGGGTCGCCACTTCATTGTTGAATTCTTATGTTCACCTAACTATTTACAGGTATATATATATATATCGTGAGGAAAAATCTGCAAACATGAAAGATCACTTCTTTCAATGGCACCTCTTTCAGTGTTTTTAAACAAACATGGCATCGACTTTTTCCATTGCTAATCGAGTCACAATTAACCATCATGCAAATTACTGGAATAATAAGTTCCACTGTTGATTGATATTAGTATCAGTGTCCATGAAAGGACATTCTACAAGTGCAGAGAACTTTGGAAACATAAAATGCCAAGCAGTGTTAGAGATGACGCTTGCGGCACAAGGATTGGTGAGGCACAAATTAGCTGCTACAACACACAGATCATTTTATCATCAAACTCGTTGAAATAATGATGACGGGAGGCTGACAGGTGCCACCGATTTTGTGTATTTTGACGCGTGGAGTTTTTATTACCATCCAACAAACAAAATCTATGATATACGGAACCGCAAAAGAAACGCCACCCCAAGTAACATTGCATGAAAAGTCATCGTTTATATATCTGGCTATTCTTTTGTCAAAGTTTCTAAAAATTAACATTACCTTGTCACGAAAAATATAATTTGATGATAAAAAAACAAAGCAGATGACAATAAAACCGATCGCCCAAAAACATCACGGCAACGGCCATGGTTACCCGATGCACGTGAGTTCCGTGCAAATTGAAATGCACATGCGTTCCCCCATTTCTTGCCCTCTAAAAATCCACCCAGATCAGATAACATTCATTCGTTATTGAGTTGCTTCCACATGCCAAGATTGACAAGAAATCAGCGACATAAAGCCCTTGGACGATTGCAGGCTGGACAAACCGCCCGGCAAGTAACCAATGCATTGCACGTCCAAGTAAGGACCATATACAGGCTCCAGCAACGGTACCAGACCACCAACACTACAGATGACCGACCACGTAGTGGAAGACCAAGGGTACTCTTCTCAGACGAGAGCAGATGACAGAGGGACTCTGGTGACGCCGTGGGGAACGTTATTCGGATGATTGTGTTGTTGAGAGAGACTCTAGGGGTGGTCCAAGCATCATGGTGTGGGGTGGAATTGGTCTTGCACAGAGAGTCTGCCCTGATGTCTCCCAGAACATCGGTCCAGGGCAATGGTGTAACAGCAACTCAGAGGGTCGGCCCTGTGTTTTTCCACAACATCATTCCAGGGAGACAGCAGCTCAGTACATTGATCAAGTCTTGAGAACACACGCCAAATTTCATTTAGAACGTCGCCGCAACTGCGCGTTTCAGCATGATAACGCCCATGTCGAGGAGACTTCATCCAGCAGAATGACATCAGAACCATGCAGTGACCTGCCCTCAGTCCCGATTTAAATCCCACTGAGCACCTGTGGGACGAGATTCAAAGACAGCTGAATGACGCCCGACCAAGGGCGACAACTGCAGCTGAACTGGGTCACTCGTTGTGATTGTGGGCTCAAGTGCCTGTGGCATTCATCAACCGCCTCATCCATTCCATGTATCGACGTTGCACGGAAGTCATCAATGTCCATGGCGGACACACGAGATACTGACTTGTTATGGTATTTTCTCAGAGACTAGTGTTGTGTTTCACTTTATGAACATTTGACACTTTCATTTCAAACTTGATGATCAGTTTTGCAAGGTTTCATCTTTTCAATATGTCTTGAAGTATGTTCAAAGCCTTTCGACGAATAAGGTTTATCTACCTATCCATGGGGACGTATCTTATGCGGTTCAGTATATTATTAGCATCACAAAGTCTGAGCAGGGATTTTGCCTTGGAATCGAAGAGTCACGATAGTTTGAGCTTCTGAAGATGCTAGCTTCCTTACTACGGCTTCGATTTTTTTCATCTTTGTCCAATAATGTAAATCAATACGTTGACATGAGATGAGGGTTTTAAAGTTAAAACTGTTTAAAACGGCCTTGAACGTATCTGATGTGTTTACCTCGTTGTAGCACTTTCCTTTTATACACACTATAACACTATAACACTCGTTGTGCTCCAAACCTCTTCTCCATCCCCATTCTTCATACCTCTTCCACGTACCCATTCTTCATACCGCTTCTCCATACCCATTCTCCATACCTCTTCTCCATCCCTCTTCTCCATCCCAGTTTTCTATACCCGTTCTCCATCTCTATTCTCCATACTCGTTCTTCATACCTCTCTATACCCGTTCTACATCCCCCTTGTCCATCCCAATTCCCAATCCCCGTTCTTCATACCTCTTCCCTGAACCCGTTCTTCAAACCTCTCCCCTGAACCCGTTCTTCAAACCTTTCCCCTGAACCCATTCTTCATACCTCTTCCCTGAACCCATTCTTCATACCTCTTCCCTGAACCCGTTCTTCATACCTCTTCCCTGAACCCGTTCTTCATACCTCTTCCCTGAACCCATTCTTCATACCTCTTCCCTGAACCCGTTCTTCAAACCTCTCCCCGAAACTGTTCTTCAAACCTTTCCCCGGAACCCGTTCTTCATACCTCTTCCCTGAACCCGTTCTTCATACCTCTTCCCTGAACCCGTTCTTCATACCTCTTCCCTGAACCCGTTCTTCAAACCTTTCCCCTGAACCCGTTCTTCATACCTCTTCCCTGAACCCATTCTTCATACCTCTTCCCTGAACCCATTCTTCATACCTCTTCCCTGAACCCGTTCTTCATACCTCTTATCTGTATCCGTTCTGCATACCTCTTATCTGTATCTGTTCTGCATACCTGTTCTCCATACCAGTTCTTCATACTTCTATATACCCGTTCTCCATCCCTCTTCCCCATCCAAGTTCTTCATACCTCTTCTTTGTATCCGTTATCCATACCCATTCCCCATCCCTATTCTCCATCCCCGTTCTTCAGACCCCTTCTCGATACCCATTCTCCATCTCTATTCTCTATCCCTATTCTCCATTCCCGTTCTTCACACCTCTCTATACCTGTACTACATCCCTCTTGTTCATCCCTATTCCCAATCACCATTCTTCATACCTTTTTTTCTGTACCCGTTCTCCATACGTGTACTTCATACGTGCTCTCCATACCTGTTCTCCAGCCTTTACTCAATGCCCGTTCTCATAACCTCTTCCTCATACCCGTTCTTCATACCTCTTCACTGTACTCGTTCTCCATCCCTTTTCTCCATCCCCGATCTTCATGCTTCTCTATAGAGATTACTACACGAGTGTCTGTCAGATACCATTTATCTTTCAACGAGTTGTTTCAAATCGCATCTAACGAGCGAAAGCTTTGAAACAACGAGTTGTAAGATAAATGGTATCTGACAGGCAAGAGTGCAATAATCTGTTTCTTACACACCCTAAAACCGCTCCTTTTTCGCCTCGAATCGATGCATTTTGTCTGTTCTCATGATGGCAGTGGCGCATTAATTCATAAATAATGTGACCATAATCTAAACCTAAAAACGTGTCCTTTTTGTGAATTACAAAGGCGATGATGATAATGTAAACCAGATAAGATAAAAAAACACGCATGATGCCGAGTTAGAAAAATTCACCTCATAGAATTTACCAAATATGTACAACATTATTTATCACACCGTACGACATCACTACCGGTGACCGACTTCTACAAAATGGCGTGTTCACTGATAACAGTATGTGGGATTTTCAGAGGCGTACTTTCGTTGATTGAGGGATGGTATATACATAAATGTGTCATGTAAGAAATCGGAAACAATCAGAAAACCTGCATACTGTTATTTGTTTTTATGTTTTGCAGTGTATCCAAGAGAATTTGTCAAAAATACAGATACTGTCGTCTCTCCGTGTGACTTTGCGTCTGTCATGGCGTCACACAGGACGGGATCTTTGCAATTGCTGTTACATTTCCCTGACCATTGTAATGCATATAATTTTTAATTCCATGACTCTTCCCTCCAAACGCGGCAGCAGATGTATGCAACAAATAATCTCTCAAAAAGGGCGTGTGTAACATCTGAATTTTGCTTTGTTTACATTTCATCAAGTACAGTTTTCCGAGCACAGTGTTCTTTTGCACAACTTAACTATTTCGCTTGATGTCATCTTGATAATTTGTCTTTGGTGACAAAGATCATTTGTCACTTGATTCTAGAATGTAGGTGGAATTCAGGGATGCTTGTATCGCAGCTGAGTTTGAAATGTACGTGATCTAATAGGCGTTTCATATCCCATATACGTGAAATGTGATTTTGTAAACACTATCCAAAGTGGCGAAAAGTGCACTTCGGCGTTCGTGTTTGGGTATTTTCCCAAACTTTCTTAACCATTCCAGGTTCCTCGGCAACGTCTCAGAATTATCATTGGTGTTTCGGTGATTAACGGAAAACGGAAAACACTTTACACGGGAATATATCTATTAACCCCATTACGTTCAACACAGGCGTAGGTCGAGCACTCCATACCCATTGCTCATACCCGTTTTCTTTACCCATTCTCCACAAGAAATCTCCCTACCTGTTCTCCATATCTGTTCTCTATACCCGTTTTCCATACATGTTTTCCATACCTGTTTTCCATACCCGTTCTCCTTAAATGTTGTCCATACCTGTTCTCTATACCCCTTCTCCATACCTGTTTTCCATAACTGTTCTCTATACCCGTTCTCCATACTGGTTCTCCATACCTGTTCTCCATACCTGTTCACTATACCCGTTCTCCATACCAATTCTTCATACCTGTTCGCCATGTCCGTTCTCCATACCCGTTTTCCATACCTGTACTCCATACCTGTTCTCCATACCTATTCTCTATACCTGTTCTCTTCCAGTTCTCTATACATGTTCTCTATACCCGTTCTCAATACCTGTTCTCCATACCTGTTCTCCATACCTCTTCACCATACCCGTTCTCCATACCAATTCTTCATACCTGTTCGCCATGTCCGTTCTCCATACCTGTTCTCCATACCCGTTCTCCATACCTGTTCTCTATACCTGTTCTCTATACTTGTTCTCTTCCAGTTCTCTATACATGTTCTCTATACCCGTTCTCCATACCTGTTCTCCATACCTGTTCTCAATACCTCTTCACCATACCCGTTCTCCATACCTGTTCACTATCCCCGTTCTCCATACCAATTCTTCATACCTGTTCGCCATGCCCGTTCTCCATACCTGTTCTCCATACCTGTTCTCCATACCTGTTCTCCATACCTGTTCTCCATACCTCTTCACCATACCCGTTCTTCATACCAATTCTTCATACCTGTTCGCCATGCCCGTTCTCCATACCTGTTCTCCATACCTGTTCTCCAAACCCGTTCTCCATACCTGTTCTCCATACCTATTATCTATGCCTGTTCTCTATACCTGTCCTCTCTCAGTTCTCTATACATGTTCTCTATACCCGTTCTCCATACCTGTTCTCTATACCTGTTCTCTATACCCGTTCTCCATACCTGTTCTCCATACCTGTTCTCCATACCTGTTCTCCATACCTGTTCACTATACCCGTTCTCCATACCAATTCTTCATACCTGTTCGCCATGTCCGTTCTCCATACCTGTTCTCCATACCTGTTCTCCATACCCGTTCTCCATACCTGTTCTCTATACCTGTTCTCTATACCTGTTCTCTTCCAGTTCTCTATACATGTTCTCTATACCCGTTCTCTATACCTGTTCTCCATACCTGTTCTCCATACCTGTTCATTATACCCGTTCTCCATACCCGTTCTCCATACCTGTTCTCCATACCCGTTTTCCATACCTGTTCTCCATACCTGTTCGCTATACCTATTATCTATACCTGTTCTCTTCCAGTTCTCTATACATGTTCTCCATACCCGTTATCCATACATGTTCTCGATACCTGTTCTCTTTACCCGTTCTCCATACCTGTTCTCTATACCTGTTCTCCATACCTGTTCTCCATACCTGTTCATTATACCCGTTCTCCATACCTGTTCTCCATACCTGTTCTCCATACCCGTTCTCCATACCTGTTCTCTATACCTGTTCTCTATACCTGTTCTCTTCCAGTTCTCTATACATGTTCTCTATACCCGTTCTCTATACCTGTTCTCCATACCTGTTCTCCATACCTGTTCATTATACCCGTTCTCCATACCCATTCTCCATACCTGTTCTCCATACCCGTTTTCCATACCTGTTCTCCATACCTGTTCGCTATACCTATTATCTATACCTGTTCTCTTCCAGTTCTCTATACATGTTCTCCATACCCGTTCTCCATACATGTTCTCGATACCTGTTCTCTATACCCGTTCTCCATACCTGTTCTCCATACCTGTTCTCCATACCTGTTCTCCATACCTGTTCTCTATACCCGTTCTCCATACCTGTTTTCCATAACTGTTCTCCATACCCGTTCTCCATACATGTTCTCCATGCCTGTTCTCCATACCTGTTCTCCATACCTTTTCTCTATACCTGTTCTCTATACCCGTTCTCCATACCTGTTCTCCATACCTGTTCTCCATACCTGTTCTCCATACCTGTTCTCCATACCTGTTCTCCATACCCATTCTCCATATCCGTTCTCCGTATCCGTTCTCCATACCTGTTCTCTATACCTGTTCTCTATACCCGTTCTCCATACATGTTCTCCATACCTGTTCTCCATACCTGTTCTCCATACCTGTTCTCCATACCCATTCTCCATACCTGTTCTCCATACCCGTTCTCCATACCTGTTTTCCATACCCATTCTCCATATGTTACATGAGTACTCTCAGACACAGTATATTGATTTCAAGCTCGACTTGTCCTTTTTTTATTTCCGAAGTGACGAAATGACAATGGCATCTAAAGAGGTCAAACACCAATGCATGCGGTATCAATTTTATCTTGCGTGTTCAACAAAGCGGTGTTCGCCACATGCCAGATCGCATGACAAGACTACAACTCTTGAACATAACGAACTCTCGTAAAAAGACAGGATTGTCTTACAGCTTGCCATCAGTCGACTTTATTTAAGGGCTAGCACGTCAGTGAGACACCTGCTTGTCTCACTGTGACCGCACTAATACATATTATACAGCGAACAGTGTAATGAAACGTTTTTCACTTCCACACTGCTGAATTGCTATCTATGATTTTGCGCATGATACTGACAGCTACGATCATATGCGGGTACGATGGGGTGTGAGGTGAGAAGGTGGTATCCGTACCCACATGTGTTCACACGTCACAACGTAGAGTGGGAGAATATGTGGGAGACTATGGACTTGACAGCTTGCAGTAACATTCCAGGAATGTCACAGCGGTGACCACTTGAAACTGTACCCTTGCGGGCAATAGGACTTCAGATTGAGATCAAGGGAGATGACACACAGAGAGTCTGAGAGAAATATAGACCTGGATGAACGAGAGAGATTTAGACATTGAGGCGAGACAGGGAGTGATTGACACAGGGGTAGATTGAGTGAGTGGCTATGGCCTAGCAAAAGGCATAGTGTGGTATTCCTGCAATATCGTGGTGGGGGGCATCAGAAAAGCGTCGCACGCATAGCACCATTGTGAGAATCGAACCCGGGTCTTCGGCGTGAGTTGCGAATGCTTTAACCATTAGGCTACACAAGCTACCCAAGGTAGGTAGAAGATAAAGCCTTGTCAATACAGCCTCTAAGGGGTATCGCGAACAATACGGCTCATTGAATGCTGGACATATAATAAACCACGCGCTCAATACCGCGAATTCACAACGCTGCATAATTAGTGACGGGTGCGGCATAACATGTATTCTGTACCGTGGCTTTGAATTCACATTGTGCTTTATTTGTGTGCCACTGCTCTGATGTTTGACACGTAGTTTTAGATTGTTAAAAACTCATAACGATTCTTCCTTCCCCGACTTTAACAAAATATACGGCTCCCATTACTTTTACCACATCCGCCACAAGTAGTCCCCACCTCCCTAACAAGCCCTTAATCCCGACCGCGTGAACTAAGGAAACATTACGCTCTTACCATGGACCTTAGCCAAGCCGTAAATCCTGATTGTAGTCGGTTGTGTGTGTAACAGATAAGTGTTAGTCATATGGCTACTATCATTGATTTGATATGTACTGTGGGCCCCTTTTCCTGAGAAATTGCGATGTAAAAGCGTCTGCACTGCGGGGATTAACAGAGAAATTCAGGTCATGGATAGCGTATGGGTTACCTGTGCATTGAGGTTAGACGTCGGGAGTTGGGAAATGATAAGGTTAGGGGATAGAGTTAGGAGTAGGTGTAGGGGTATGGATGGTTATTAGGTTAGCGGTTATAGTAGAAGCTAGGGTAGGGCATGGGTATGTGTAGGGTGGAGGTAGAGGTAGGTGTAAGGTAAGAGTAGGGTTTAGGATTGGATAGGGTAGAGGTAACGTAATAGGTAGGGGTAGGATTAGGGTTAAAGTAGGATAATGATAGGGGTAGGTAGAGTTAAGGGTAAGGGTAATGTTAGATAGGGGTGGAGAATGGGGAGTAGGGGTAAGGGTAAGGATAGGGATAGGGTAGGGTGGGGGTAAGGAGTAGGTATAATCGTAAGGGTGGGGAAACGAAAACGGTAAGCGTAGATTCGGGTAGGAGTAGCGGTAAGGGTAGAGGTCGGGAGTAGGGGTGAGGGTAGGATAGAGGTAGGGTAGGGGTGGGGATATGGAGTGGGTATAATCGTAGGGGTGGTGAAATGAAAACGATAAGCGCAGAGTAGGGTAGGTCTAACTGTAACAGTAGAGGACAGGAGTAGGGGTGCGGGTAGGGGTACCGGCAAGAGTAGAGGTCGGGGTAGGGGTGAGGGTAGGGGTAGGGATAAGGAGTTGGTAGTATGGGTAATGGTAGGGGTAGGGGAGAGGTAAAGGTAAGGGTATTGTAGAGCAGGGTTAAGGTTTGGGTTTGAGTATGGGTAGTGGTTAGTGTAGAGATTAGGGTATGTACATGGGTAGGGGGTATGGTAAGTGTTAGGGTAAGGGTGAAGGTTTGGGTAAGGGTATGGGTGGGGTTAGCTTTGAGGCTGGGGTGTCGGTACAGGTAGGGTAGAGTAGTCAAGGAGAGATATTGGTTTCGGTACGGGTTATGGTAAAGTTGGGGAGGGTTCAGGTTGGGGATGGCAGTAGGGCTGGGGAGGGTTAAGGGTGGTTGAAGTGGAAGGGTTTCTGGAAAGTTTTGTGTAAGGGTTAAGGCAGAGGCTTGGGTTAGGGGCTCAATGCCGTACTAGTGTGATACCTCAGTTTGCTGGATATTCCACGACACCTGTTGATTCTTCACTCAATTTTCAGGGCGGTCGAGTAGACTATTTGTTTAAGCGTTCGTTCGTCACGCCGAAGTCCATGTTCGATTCCCAGCATAGTTACAATGTGTGAAGCCCATTTCTGGTGTCCCCCGCCGTGATATTGCTGAAATATTGCTAAAAAGCGGTGTAAAACCATACTCACTCAGTCACTCATTCAATGTTCTACTGTCTGTCGATCTACCTTATGCCCACGTGTGTGTACCACAACACAGTTTCACATTAATAGAACCGTTGTGACGTGTGCAAAGTCTCCTGCTCGAACGTTAACGTCACATCGAATACATCAATGTACAAATGAAGTCATATCTGAGACGCCATCTAAATACGCTATTGGGGAACGATCTCCATTATATATATATATATATATATTTATAATATGTTTATATGTGTCATACGTCACAAAGTTAGAATGCACTTTGACGTCATGCTATGTTAAATTATACTGCTCATCTTTGGACTTGTGTATTTTATCTACATATATATATATATATATATATATTAATAGAGAGAGAGGGAGAGAGAGAGAGACACACACACACACACACACACAGATACATATGTGTATATCATATTATATATGAGTGGTTACAGACGCTGTAAATATAACAATGACAATCTTACGAGAAGCACTGATGAAAATAAAGGAACTGTACACGGGCATTCTTGTGTACCTGCATCCCTAGTAACTGTAAACCTATGTCCGTTATAAAAGCCAATCTTCCAATTTACAGCCACGTAAATGACAAAATGTCTCAAATACGTAAAATTATACCAGCACAAGAGAGCCCAACAATCTCAAACAAATCCTTTGTCCATCAAAATAACAAGATACAAACACCGTAAGGGTAACACAATGTCACACAACACGATGTGGAACCTGCCCAATAATAATTGAAGACTGCAAGTATACAATTTTGAGAAATATACTCTTACTGTCAAAAAACAACATACATTGAACACAGACAGCAAATTCAGGATCCAACTGTCCGTTGTATAAATGTAAGCAAATATTTTAATGAATGCTGGGGCGATCAGTTTACTGTCTTTCGATGTTATAGATTGTTTAACAATGACAAACATTTACAATGGAAAAAGAACAGGCTTTAGCAATACAACTCGGTGTGTAAAATGTTCAACGAGAGCCCATTTGGCATTTTTCACATGCATAAGTATTGACCGCAACCATAATTGTAACTTAAAAATATCCCCTCACCAAATAACACCAGATGGAAGCTTGGACCCAATTCACACCCACACCAACTTGTCCATCCAACACCCCAATCCCATACCCGCTCCCACGCCAACTTGTCCATCCAACACCCCAGTCCCATACCCGCTCCCACGCCAACTTGTCCATCCAACATCCCAGTCCTATACCCGCTCCCACGCCAACTTGTCCATCCAACATCCCAGTCCCATACCCGTTCCCACGCCAACTTGTCCATCCAACACCCCAGTCCTATACCCGCTCCCACTCCAACTTGTCCATCCAACACCCCAGTCCAATACCCGCTCCCACGCCAACTTGTCTATCCAACACCCCAGTTCCATACCCGCTCCCACGCCAACTTGTCCATCCAACATCCCAGTCCAATACCCGCTCCCACGCCAACTTGTCCATCCAACACCCCAGTCCTATACCCGCTCCCACGCCAACTTGTCCATCCAACATCCCAGTCCCATACCCGCTCCCACGCCAACTTGTCCATCCAACACCCCAGTCCTATACCCGCTCCCACTCCAACTTGTCCATCCAACACCCCAGTCCTATACCCGCTCCCACGCCAACTTGTCTATCCAACACCCCAGTCCCATACCCGCTCCCACTCCAACTTGTCCATCCAACATCCCAGTCCCATACCCGCTCCCACGCCAACTTGTCCATCCAACACCCCAGTCCTATACCCGCTCCCACTCCAACTTGTCCATCCACCTCCCCAGTCCCATACCTGCTCCCACACCAACTTGTCCATCCAACACCCCAGTCTCATACCCGCTCCCACGCCAACTTGTCCAGCCAACACCCCAGTCCTATACCCGGTCCCACGCCAACTTGTCCATCCACCTCCCCAGTCCCATACCTGCTCCCACGCCAACTTGTCCATCCAACACCCCAGTCCTATACCCGCTCCCACTCCAACTTGTCCATCCAACACCCCAGTCCCATACCCGCTCCCACGCCAACTTGTCCATCCAACACCCCAGTCCTATACCCGCTCCCACGCCAACTTGTCCATCCACCTCCCCAGTCCCATACCTGCTCCCACGCCAACTTGTCCATCCAACACCCCAGTCCCATACCCGCTCCCACTCCAACTTGTCCATCCAACACCCCAGTCCCATACCCGCTCCCACGCCAACTTGTCGATCCAACACCCCAGTCCTATACCCGCTCCCACTCCAACTTGTCCATCCACCTCCCCAGTCCCATACCTGCTCCCACGCCAACTTGTCCATCCACCTCCCCAGTCCAATACCCGCTCCCACGCCAACTTGTCCATCCATCTCCCCAGTCCTATACCTGCTCCCACGCCAACTTGTCCATCCACCTCCCCAGTCCAATACCCGCTCCCACTCCAACTTGTCCATCCACCTCCCCAGTCCCATACCTGCTCCCACGCCAACTTGTCCATCCAACACCCCAGTCCCTTACCCGCTCCCGCGCCAACTTGTCGATCCAACACCCCAGTCCCTTACCCGCTCCCACGCCAACTTGTCCATCCAACACCCCAGTCCTATACCCGCTCCCACGCCAGCTTGTCCATCCAACACCCCAGTCCCATACCCGCTCCCACTCCAACTTGTCCATCCACCTCCCCAGTCCCATACCTGCTCCCACGCCAACTTGTCCATCCACCTCCCCAGTACCATACCCGCTCCCACGCCAACTTGTCCATCCAACACCCCAGTCCTATACCCGCTCCCACGCCAACTTGTTCATCCAACACCCCAGTCCAATACCCGCTCCCACGCCAACATCCACATCTGACTCAACATACCTACATACATGTATACACACCCTACACCTTCCTCACCAAAACAGTAAACATATAGTATCACTCATCCTTACCCACACATCCTCACCCTTTCTCACCAACCATTATTAAGATCAGGGTATCATTAAATATATATATATAATTGTTTCAGTCGACATCAATGCATCACATAAATCCCACTCGAAAGCTTCATGTAATCCACAATGCCACACTAGATCATGGCATAACCATTCAAGACAACTGAATGCACGAACACCCACCATGATGTATGAGGTTATAGAATATACAGCATAACTTATCCTTTCATTTCAATACAAGTCATAACATAATGATACACATATACTTACACGTATCAGATAGAAAAGAGTTGAAGTGATAGTAATGGCGGTAAATGCGCCCCGTGGACCGTCATGCATTGTGTAAGCTACCTCACAAACCACCTAACTTACACAATACAGCCTTCGTATATATACACAGTAAAAAAAGTGTTGCACCCCCTATACTTTTTCATGGAGGGGTGTTTTGAGAGGGTGTAAAGATAACCGAATTAATATTATAACCAGGATTTCGTGTATACCAACAAACCAGTGTATTGTCTATACAATGAACTTAAATGGGGTATTCCATGACCTTATGGCATGTAATAATCTCATGCTGAACTTTTACGAAAAATGAACGAACAACGAAGACGCATTAAGTATGGTGACATCTCAATAATTTTTAGTGACCAAATTCATCCAATAGGGTAAGAATGTCATATGGAGATTTGACGAACACAGTAAGTCAATATCGAGAACTTCCACCAAGCACTTGGATCACAGCTTGAAGTCTTCGTCTCATACTCCTCACCAGACGTTGGAATCGCTCCATGGGCAGCTGCTGCCACTCCTCGTGTAATGCTGCTTCCAATTCACGCAAGTTCTGTGGAGGAGGGTCCCGACGATAAATCAGGCGTCCCAAAATGTCCCATACATGTTCCAGAGGATTCAGATCTGGACTCATTGCTGGCCATAGAATCTGCGTCAGAGCATTGTTGTGGATAACCTGGGTCACAGCTCGTGAACGATGTGGTCTGGCATTGTCATCCATGAATATCGGTCTGGTGGCCAGTGGATGATTGTCAAAATGGGGCACCACAACTGGATTCAGCACCTCTTGGATGTAGCGCTCCCCTGTCAAGTTGCCTCGTATGGTCACTAAATCAAGCTTACAATCAAATGAGAAGCATCCCCAGACCATAACAGATCCACCTCCATATGGTACAGTTGGCATGATGTTTCTTGCAGTATAAGCTGTTCCAGGACGCCTCCATACTCTCACTCTGCCATCCACAACATGCAGAAGGAACCTGCTTTCGTCCGACCAGTGGACTCTTCTCCAGGACCTCAAGTTCCAGTTCTGTCTCAGTCTACACCAGGCTAGACGTAGTCGTTTGTGGTTGTCTGTGAGTTTAGGTCGCTTGATAACCCTTCTGGACTTCAACCCTGCAGCTTTAAGACGATTTCTCACGGTCTGGGTACTGAACTGTTGACAAGGAAGCCAAAGACGTTTCAAGGTTGTGCTTGTAGCAAATGGATGACGCCTTACCGCCCTCAACAACGCTCTGTCATCTCTAACTGTGGTCTTACGTGGTCTGTCAGAGGGTCTGCGATTCCTTACATCATTAGTTTGTGCGTGTTTTCTGACCAAACGGCTTATTGTTGAGTAGTGATGTCCGGTTCTTCTGCCAATCTCCTTGAACGAAAGACCTGCTCCATGAAGGCCAATAATCTGCCACTTGACTGCTTCTGACAATCGTCTACCCGGCATTGTGGGTTACAATAAACTGGGCTGTCAGAGAACATCTTTTATAGGCGATGTTGAGCTTAAGAAGATACTGCAATCTGCAAATGTCATGCACCATGCAATTCACGTGCTGATTGCTACGTTTTGGCGATCATCTTCCCTCCGAAAACATTACACATTTAACATCAGATCCCCAAGGAATACCTACCATTAAAACCAGAGTCGGGCGTTTTAAATGTTGTGATGTATCAGACGTATTAATGTGGGGGTGCAACACTTTTTTTACTGTGTATATGTGTATTCAGTATGGTAGATAGGTACACAATTGATCATGTACATAATTGCAAGCGTCTCACCTTTTTGAGAGTGTAGTCCCAAGCACTGCCAAGTAGTCCCGTTAAGATCAATCCACCATGTTGTTTTTTTCTTGTCATGTGCGTGACATCGATATGTGTATTGGCACGTTGAACATGGCAACTGCTACTTGGGTGACGCGTAGCAGGGTCGTAAAAGGCGTCGCTATTGGCTCTGCAGCACTGTGTCCGTTAGGTCTACCAGAGATCTATAATTCTGGGTTCGAATCTGCCATAGTCACCCTGACCATGTTTCTAGGTTTGTCAGAACTGTGCTCGTGTTTATATGGATCAGAACATTTATATTTTAATATTCTGTGATAAGATCTTTCAATCTTGCTGTAAAATTTCTTAATCGATTTTCAAACAGTCTAACAAAATATGACACTTTCATTACAAGGGAAGAATGTAGGAGGGCTGTAACAGTTTATAGCAGATTGTCATGATTAAACCGAGTCGCAAAAGTTTGACTCCGTCACGATACTGGAGTGTTTTCCTGATATTGCTGACATGGTGTGCGTGTAGTGGTTGTTGGAATAAGGATTACGGGTTGCGGGTGGGTATGTAGGTGTGGGTGTGGAAGTGTGTGGGTGGTGGGTGGTGGATGTGGGTGGTGGGTGGTGGGTGTGGGTGGTGCGTGGTGGGTGTGGGTGGTGGGTGTGGGTGTGGGTGTGGGTGTGGGTGTGGGTATAGCTGTGGGTGTAGGTGGGTGTGGGTGTGGGTGTGGGTGTGGGTGTGGGTGTGGGAGTGTGGATGGGTTTTGGTGTTGGTGTGGGTGTGGGTGGTGGTTGGTGGGTGTGGGTGTGGTGTGGGTGTGGGTGGTGGTTTCGTGGGTGTGGGTGTGGGTGTGGATGGGTGTTGGTGTTGGTGTGGGTGTGGGTGGTGGTTGGTGGGTGTGGGTGTTAGTGTGGATGGGTGTGGGTGCGGGTGTGGGTGTGGGTGTGGGTGTGGGTGTGGGTGTGGTGTGGGTGTGGTTGGTGGTTGGTGGTTGGTGGGTGTGGGTGTGGGTGTGGATGGGTGTGGATGGGTGTGGGTGTTGGTGCGGGTGTGGGTGTGTAGTGTGTGTGTGTGGGTTGGTATGAGGGTGTGGGTGGTGGTTGGTGGGTGTGGGTGTGTGGGTGTGTGTGGATGTGTGGGTGTGTGTGGGTGGGAATGAGGGTGTGGGTGTGTGTGTGTGGGTGTGTGTGTGTGTGGGTGTGTGTGGGTGTGTGGGTGTGTGGGTGTGGGTGTGGGTGAGGGGTTTTGGTGTGGATGTGTGTGGATTTGTGTGGATGGGTGTGGATAGGTGTGGATGGGTGTTGGTGTGGGTGTGTGGGTGTTGTAGTGTGGGTGTGGGTGTGGGTGTGGATGGGTGTGGGTGTGGGTGTGGGTGTGTTGGGGTGTGGGTGTGGGTGTGAGTGTGGGTGTGGATGGGTGTAGGTGTTGGTGTGGATGGGTGTGGGTGTGGGTGTGGATGCGGATGGGTGTGGGTGTGGGTGTGGGTGTGGATGGGTGTAGATGGGTGTGGGTGTGGGTTTGGGTGTGGATGGGTGATAGTGTGGTCGTGGGTGTGTATGTGGGTGTAGGTGTTGGTGTGGGTGTGGGTGTGTGGGTGGGTGGTGGGTTGGTATGAGGGTTTGGGTGTGGGTGTGGGTGTGGATGGGTGATAGTGTGGTCGTGGGTGTGGGTGTGGGTGTAGGTGTTGGTGTGGGTGTCTGGGTGCGGGTGTGGGTATAGGTGAGGGTGTCTGGGTGCGGGTGTGTGTATGGGTGAGGGTGGTAGGTGTTGGTGTTGGTGGGTGTGGGTGTGGGTGTGGGTGTGGGTGTGGGTGTGGATGGGTGTTGGTGTTGGTGTTGGTGGTGGATGGTGGGTGTGGGCGTTGGTGTGGGTTGGTGTGAGTGTATGTGTGGGTGTGGGTGCTGGTTTGTGGGTGTGGGTGTGGGTGTGGGGGTGGATTGGGGTGGATGGGTGTTGGTGTTGGTGCGGGTGTGGGTGTGGGTGTGTGGCTGTGTAAGGGTGTGGTGAGAGTGTGGTGAGGGTGTGGGTGTGTGGGTGTGGGTGTGGGTGTGGTTGGTGGGTGTGGTTGTGGGTGTGGGTGTGGGTGTGGGTGTGTGGGTGTGGGTGTGGGTGTGGTTGTGGGTGTGGTTGTGGGTGTGGGTGTGGGTGTGTGGGTTTTGGTGTGGATTGGTGTGGATGGGTATGGACGGGTGTGGATGGGTGTTGGTGTGGGTGTGTGGATGTTGTAGTGTGGGTGTGGATGTGGGTGTGGATGGGTGTGGGTGTGGGTATGGGTGTGTTGGGGTGTAGGTGTGGGTGTGGGTGTGAGTGTGGGTGTGGATGGGTGTAGGTGTTGATGTGGATGGGTGTGGGTGTGGGTGTGGGTGTTGGTGTGGGTGTGGATGTGGGTGTGGGTGTGGGTGTGGGTTTGGATGGGTCTAGATTGGTGTGGATGGGTGTGGGTGTGGGTGTGGGTGAGGGGTTTTGGTGTGGATGTGTGTGGATGTGTGTGGATGTGTGTGGATGTGTGTGGATGTGTGTGGATGGGTGTTGGTGTGGGTGTGTGGGTTTTGTAGTGTGGGTGTGGGTGTGGGTGTGGATGGGTGTGGGTGTGGGTGTGTTGGGGTGTGGGTGTGGGTGTGAGTGTGGGTGTGGATGGGTGTAGGTGTTGGTGTGGATGGGTGTGGGTGTGGGTGTGGGTGCGGATGGGTGTGGGTGTGGGTGTGGGTGTGGTTGTGGATGGGTGTAGATGGGTGTGGGTGTGGGTTTGGGTGTGGATGGGTGATAGTGTGGTCGTGGGTGTGGATGTGGGTGTAGGTGTTGGTGTGGGTGTGGGTGTGTGGGTGGGTGGTGGGTGGGTATGAGGGTTTGGGTGTGGG